CATTTTGGTAGTAAATTTGATAAAATTGTGGTAAAGGACAGGGCTTTAACTAGGATGATTTTTTGCAGCGTGTGCCGAGAGAATTAAATGTCATACAGTTCATCGAATATTAATGATATTTTCCTAATGGAACCTGGTTACCAAATTACCTCAACCCACGCGGCGCGAAAAACTGTAAACACGTTAATATACTGAGCCCGATAGTGAGCAAAAAAGCTAAGTCTGTTGAAAAGTATTATGTCATCTCCACAATTTTACTTTGAAATGAGCAAAGGAAACCTTTGAAAAAAAGCATTAAATAGTTTGTGGCGTGCCTGCTGTCGGCATGCATTCTGTTAATTTACAAACATATTCCGTTAACACAATAAGATCCACATTTTAGGTCTCAGACTGAACTCAGCTTGAGCTTTTCTGAAGTACCTAGCGAATAAAATCCTCTTAAGTTTAATTTGAAGACTTATCTTTATGACTAAATAGCCAAGATCTCGACGTTTGTCTGGATATCACTTAATTTTAGCTTTAACTGAGCTCAGTTTTGGAATAGCATTCTGTATAGAGTTATATAATATGCGTGTTATTAAAAATCTTTTTAGTAATTCAGTTTGGTGTAGTAAGCCTTGAATTTCGTTCGGAGATTACCTCCGGAAGGCACAGTCTTGCTATTTTCACAAAGTTAAATACACTGACGTGTAATTTATTTCTTAGCATTAATAATTTATCACAGTCACTTTATGCAAAACACGCTCAAAGAATTGATCACCAGCAATAACATGTTAAGTTAGATGAGACAACTTGATGATCCGAAAGTTTTTTTCCCCAATACTCGCCTCTTTTCATTGCGGAACTGTTTAAATGGAATTTCTATATTGGTAAATGTGTTTTTAATGCGCTTTATGTATACTAAGTAAAAATTGGAAACCCCTAAAATCAACCAGACACGCTGTCACATGTTAAACATAAAGAAATGCCGGATGTAAAGCTTGGTAGAAAATATAAGGGAGATGAGATTATTCAGTCAGGGTCAGCACAAGCTGGTTGTGAAATGACTTGACTTTCCCAATAGCAGTCCAACATGAAATCTTTCCACACATAGGTGAACGTTCTTCCACTGAGCTACATGACACTTGTGCGAATAAAACCAGATGCAGCTAGGTTTAAAACTGAGGAACATCCAATATACCGCAAGGAACAGTTCTGCCGATATGTGAGATACTCATATTGAGAAATGTAGTTACTAAGACATGATTGATTATTGTAGTGATACAAACAACTTAAGCAGTTGTGAAATTAAAGCCTGAAAAATTCAGGCCTGAATGGGATTCGAACCCATGACCTCTCGATACCGTTGCAGTACTCTACTGAGCTATCAAGCCAACTGGGAGTTGGGGACTTTGTGAGTTTTTTTTTTCAGGCCTTACTTTCACAACTGCTTAAGTTGTGTGTATAACTGCGATGATCATCTTTCTTCGCAGTACAAATATATGATCTTTCACTACATTCGCGTGTAAATGAAGTTATTGTTAGTTATAGCGGAAGAATGAACATAACGAACATAAGAACATAAAGCTAATCTGAAGGAAACCTACACGACTACACCTAGATAATATTGTGAATTCGCGGTTATAGGATAGAGGGTTGATATTGCTTGCATTCTGTCAGGGCAAACATTTCTTTTCACTTTAAATCTGCTAGTAACGTACCGGCAAGTTTTATTTTTTTTCTAGGAGAAGAAATCTTATACCAGCGCTGCTGAGATTGTCATAATATTGCATTGTTTGCAATTATTAAAAGTAGTCATAAATTACCAAGCAACGCGCACACCATTGCGACAACATTACACGTACAACACCAAATCAAAGTTGCCTTATCAGAATCAAAATATTTCGCTGATCTTGCTGGCAAATCCATACTTTTCTTATTCAATGCGGAATGTGCCCAACTCGCAATCGAGAAAGTGGTTTTTAAACATCTTGTACAGAAACATTTTGTATTCGCCTTCTATAGTACATTACAAATCAGATGATACTTGATTAATGCAGGAGATCCAGCAAGCATGGATAAGCTTGCTTTTTTAACCCCGAAGATCCCCGAAATATTATTTCACTAATTTTTAATTGACCTGAAAAATTTTATTGACTATAGCAGGTGGATTAAATTACATATTATATAGACCAGAAATGCAATGTAGTAGAAGTACATTTTCCAAGGCTTATCTGACTAATTTAAAACAGTTCGACTCTCTCTGCTTGCTGTTTTATCCTATTTCGTTTAGTTTTATGTTGTTTTTTGCAATTGCTCTTCTTGAAATGCTTTCACTGTTAGAGGTATCGCTGCTCAAGCATTGGAAATACAGACTTTACATACCTACACTCATGCTGCCGTTATAACTGTATCCTGACTGGTTACATGAACAGTTGTACGAGCCTGGGATGTTGACACAGTAGGCATTGACGGGGCAGTCATGTGAACCATCGGTACATTCATTCACGTCTTGGAATTGAAAAGAAGTGTTTGAGAAAAAAGTATTTATTCTAGTTCAGTTTAGGGTGCCGACATTTTCCAATTCATGATAAAAAAAAAAATAAACAGTTTTGTATGCCATCAGGTGGTGTTCAAAAATCTAGTCCAAGTTCAGCAATTGAAGGGGCCGGATGGCCCATCACTACCGAAATTCTGAAAATTCATGAAAATTCAAGTACGTGAATCAAAGCATCGGGAGGTATTGTTTCACCCCCTGAATTAAATGTTGCCCTCTTTACTTAATGTCAGATGTCTGCCAAAAGAAAATAACACCATTGCCTCGTTCACTGCAGTACAAATCTAACTACTAAGACCATGCTAATGTAAGAAATACAAGAATTTGTCTGAAATAAGGAGAAGAGTAACCAATGACAAGGGAACTAAAAACTGAAACTATGATTATATTGGAAACAAATTCGTACAAAACCTCAAAAACTTGAGTGGAACAAAAGAGTTTGAGGAGGTACATAAAAGACAATTGGAATCTCGAATAACAAACTGATGGTGTCCAAAATAGTTTTTCTGGTAGTCCTTTCGACAACATGTATATTCCATTCCAGTAACACTCACCTTCACACTGGTGTGGATCACCAACGTAGCCATCGCTGCACATACACGAAACACCGGTACTCATGTTGACGCAATGCGCTGGAAATTCACAATTTGTCATTTCTGGATCAATACTACAAAACGTGATTCCTTGGGTCTGGACTAGTGAAAAGTAAGCCATTCACAATATTAAAATTCTCTCAAACTCATGTGTATAATTCATTTAGACTAATAATAATAATAATAATAATAATAATAATAATAATAAAAATATGAAAATATGCTCTCTTTTTCATTACAACTGCACAAATAATTTTGTCTAATTGGAAAAGTCCCCGAAAAGAATATGGTTATACTTAAGTGTACCTTGTGGTTGCTATTGCTTGCTAAACATTCAATGATTAAATTAATCGATTGGTAATATTCTGTTAAAATCAAGCAAACTGGCTAACCCCTTACCCATTTGTATTTGAGTTATGCCTACAGTTTGCCAAGGGCATAAAGAAAAGCATAGAATAGCGAGGAAAGCAGCGCCACATTTGAGTACAAATACCAGCACAGTCAAGAGAAGAACGTACACACTCATTTGGTCATGTTGTCCGATCGCTAACTTATAAATATAAAAGCTATTGCCTATGTTTATGATGCTCCTGCCCATGCTCTTTATCCTACCCATGCTCCTGCTCCTATTTTTCTCTTATTCCCGCCCCTTGCACTGCTCCTGCTCTAATAGCGCATTTACCCCCCTCCCCCCAGGTGCGTTCGCTAACAATCCCACTCCTATTCCTATTCCTGCTTCTGTTTCTGTCCTTTCAAATACTCTTTCTCGTATTCTTGCTCCTGTTCTTTTTCGTCCTCCTGTTTTTCCTCCTCTCGTACACCTAATCCTTCTCCTATTCGTTTTCCTGCTATGGTTATTCTCCTTTCTCTGCTACTACTCTATCTGGTTCTCCTGCTCCTGTTCACGCCCTTTTTCCGGCAACTGCTTCTCATCGTGCTCCAGTCCCTGATCCTGCTCCCGCAACGGCACCCGCTTATGCTCCTGCTCCTTCAGATCAGGCTGCTCCTCCAGCTACTGCTACTACTACTAATCCTGCTCCTACTACTAATCCTGCTCCTACTACTTCTCCTTACTCTTCTGCTCCTCCTCCTTCTGTTTCTTTTCTTCCTCTCTCTCCTCCTCTTGCTCTTACCACTGCCGTTACTTGTGTCGCGGTATAGTAAGGACAAGAAAACGAGTAACGCAATGCGTTTGCATGCTTTTCGTGTGCACATGACTGCACATTTATATTTAAATCGCTGCTATTCTCGCTTTTCTAATGCTTATGCTCGGCTTATGCGTATTCTCATGTCACAAGAACTGATCAACCTTAAAAGTTAGTTATTTGCATGATATATACAAATTAAAGAAACAGCTCACGAGCGTCGACACATGATGTCTTGGATATTGTGTCGGCCTTTGCTACCAAATCGTTGAATTCAGAGGCTTGAAATATATCGTCGTCTTCCTCAGTAACAGCCCTCATCGCTCTCATGTCAATATTACTCCCAATAGTAACAGCATAGATACGAGCAGCTTTTGAACGAAGGAGCTGTACTGTATCCTCTATTGGAATGTAAGAATAGGAATGAGTTTGTTTTCCATCAGTCAACAATATCACTAGTTTCTGAGTTTCGTTCGTGTCTTCTGATGAAAAATACTTATCATAAGCTAGACGAAGTGCGAGGTCAATACGGGTATGCCCGTTAAAATACGGGATATTGTCCACCGCCGAAGCGAACGACAACGTTGTGTTCTTCGAGCCCAGCGGGACTGCGTTGAAAACGTTAGTACTAAATGCAATAACAGCAGCTTGGCTGGTTGTCCCTAGTTCATATCTGCTTGTCACAGTCTTAATGAATTCTTTTTCTTTAACGTAATTGTCTTCTCCAACACTCCCCGATGCGTCGAGTAAAAAAATGAGGTCCAGTTGAGCTTGGCACTTCTCTGGAGCTGTGAAAAAAAAAAAAAAAAAAAAATGGAATGCAGCATATGTGCGGGTTCACAGGATGAAGAGGAATTCACCCCTAAAAAATAACCTAGCGGTTAGGCTTAGTTAGGCTTACAGATCAACACACGATGAGTGTGCCTATTGTTGGGGCAAAAACACACACAACTACTGTTCTACTTTATACCTCACATGATACCTACCTATACATACCGTGCCATTACCAGAGTATCCGGACACACAAGTACATTTATAGCCGCCATGATAGTTGCTGCAATACGCATCTTTGTGGCAAGCATCTGCTAGAGATTGGCATTCGTTGATGTCTATTTAAAAGCAATGTAGGTGACAAAAATTCTGAATAGAATTTCATACGGTCGGAGTCTTAGAAATTTAATTAAGGTAGTAAGCATTAGGCGATCTGTGCGGCTTTACTTTCCTGACGTCTTATGTACAGTAAGGACAGTTTAGTAGGACCTCTTGACCCATTGGTTACATTTAAAATGCCGAAAATATAACAGATAGTAACAAATCAAAAATGTCTAGTGAGCTTTAAATATGTCGCCCCAACTTCCTACTTCTGGTAACACGTTTACCGCATGTCGTTGAGCAGGATATGATAGTGGTGCCAATCTTGACAAAATAGCTTGTTCTTTCGTTAAGTTAAGCCAAGAATTCTTTGCATACGTATTAAAGTAGGCCAAAAAACCTTAACAGTTCCTTTATTTTTGTTATCTTCAAAGAAAAAGCCTTTTCGTCGTATTATTTTGGTAGCCTTGACGGCCGCCAGTACTGTATGCGGTTAAAGTTTTAACGACACATGTACCTTTAACTTTGCCCTTAAAAGACCAAAGGTTAGCATTCGCAGGTTGGATTTAATCATACTCTTAACTGCTTGGAGCCCGATGGAATATACATATTCCCCATTACCACAAGGCCCTCGGTAAAGCTAAATCGCCCAACAGTAAAAATACATGGAAGCTGACCTCAGTAAAATCAACCCAACTTTCCAGTCTGCCCCACTTTGCTACTTAATTTGGTTGCTTGCATTCGTTTCAAAGTCCTTGCAATGTTAAGTCCTTAACTGCATTAAAATTATTCTATAAACTTTGTCATTTCGATTTTCAAACACGCATGATCATGAAGGAAATGATTACAGCGAATACCTTCACACGTCAATCCGTCACCATCAAAGCCGCCCTTGCACTTGCAAGCAAACTCTATCGGTAAAATCAGTTGTACAACCCGCGTTCTGATCACAATGCTGAACACATTCGTATCGTTCTTTTTCCTGTTTAATCGTAATTATAACAACGGATAATTTAGATAATACACGTACAAGCTCGAAGCTTGTCGTTGCTCACTTCTGACACCAGTCCGTGACAAAAACTACTCAGAAAAAATTATGTTCTCCCAGTTCTCGTACGTATAAACTTCTGATATATTGAAAGGCCGGGAGCTGGATATCACCTTGGTCAGAAAAAGACCTAAATTTAAAAACAACAACCTGCACAATGCATGCTCATGTTTGCTTACCAGCCTTATCCTGAGGTTGACGCTAGACTTTATCCGTTTATTAGGCATTTGCACTTCTTTGTTACTCTTCTTGTAATTTAAATTTTTGGGTATACTGAATAATTGATGGAGTTTATTGATGGCTTTCTCCTTGTATTAATCGGAAACGAAAGATGGTAGAGTAGCAATTCTCATTCATATTTAAAAAGAATTTAATTGTCACCTACGCAGAGTAAGCCGAATGGTGTTCCGAAGCCTCGTCCGGCACGGCATGTTAAGTAAGAGTGCTTATTCTTTCGAAGGTTTTGCTTAGAGAAGAGGTTTTCGAAGAAAACGCACCTCGTCGAAAGAGAATCCTTCTTTAGCGAATTATAAATAAATGCAATGTAAAACACTTTACCCGGCCTGTCTTTAAACATTCGTTTGACTTCTTAAAAGTTGAATGTTATCAAGTTCACAAGATACTTTTTTCTCATACAAACGGTGGATTACGTGTTACAGAAACCATACAATAGAGTCCTAAAGTGTGACGTCACAAAAGAATAAATTTGAGAAATTATGGGATTTGGCGCCATTTTCGAATAGAGCGTCCTTAAAAAAGGGTCCT